TTGCGCAAAAATTCAAAAACAAACAAACTTACAACAAAATACAAAACAATGCTTCTTAAAGCATGTTTACTGAGAGAACATGGCATTTTATACAACTAACAAGAACGTCTGATTCTTCTGTAACACTTGTGCCAGGCACATGACTGAGGACCACTCTCACAAACAATAAGGGGTGTGGTACCCTTGACCACTCTCACAAACAATATGGGGTGTGGTACCCTTGGGGCATCACCTAAGTTGCCAGTAAAAAAAAAAAATCAGTGTTGCTTCTATAACATGTCTCATTCTACACTTGTCCTTTCTCGTAGTCAGTATGTGTGATGCCCTTGGTAACAAATCCAGTCCTGTGAATAATAAGGGTGAGAGGAACTTCAAGATTCTGTTCCAACTTTCTACATTAAGACAAAAGGCTCCAAGTATGGAGAAGTGGTGAAAAATTCTGCTTTAGATAAGGGGTTATAACACTTTTGAAAAGCTTATTCACTACACGTAAAAATTGTGTATAACGATGAGATTAGATTAATAGATGTGTATGTTTGTTAATTTTTCAGAGCAGGCTGTATTGAAGGCTCAGGAAGAAGCAATCAGACACAAAGTTGACTCAAGGGAAGAACAGCATCAGAATAAAGAAAGTGTAGAAGAACAAAAACATTCTTCTCCAGATGAGCAAGAAATTGATGGTAGCAATGCAAATAAAGAAAAGGATCCAGAACGTAAATGTTTTGAGGATAAGAAATATATTAACCTTTAAAAAAAATACAATAAATACACCTTTACAGTAGAAAAATTATTATTTTAATTATTACAATGTTTCGAACCTTTGTGTAACAGGTGTTTTTTGGCACAAAAAGGTAAAATCTTTATTATTAGTTACAACTGACTAGTTTCAGTAACATTATCAGGGTTAGTGTCTGGTTAATTTTTTTTTGTACTTACCTGACTTTCAATATTAATTTGACTATTTTATGAACAGATGTTAATTTTTTGTAATGTTTAAACAGCAGTCTGACTTACTTTGCTGTCTTGTATGAGAGGCTCATAAGACTGTTGCCACTTCTCTAGCTTTTCCATCAGTCTCGTGTATACTCTAAAACCTACTGGTGTTACATACTTAAAGAGTGGATTCTCCTCTGAAAATACATTTATTCATATGCTTAATATAGAGAAACTTAAAGCACTGTGCAACATATTTTACAAATGTAGTTTATCAAATGTATATGATTAACTAATGATTTTTGTGCAAAGCTACACGGGTCATCAGCACCAACTCTTGGGCTACTCTTTTACCAACGAATAGTGGGATTGACCATCACTTATAACACCCCCATGGTGGGACGTGGATTTGAACCCACGACCCTCAGATTAAGAGTCGAGCACCCTAACCACCTGGCCATGCCGGGCTATACAGTTATCAGTGTACTTCTATTCAAATTATTATTATTGTATTTCAGAGGGTCAATGGTTCGTTTTGTTGATTCAATGCCAAAAAACGTCCCCCATCTTAATTTGACATTTCTTAATTAATTCTCATTTAATATTGAGACACATCAAAACATATCAAGACTCAGTTATTTATGGTTGGTACCTTGACAGTGAGTTTAACTTTTGTTTAGTGAGAAAATTACTAATTAACTAATTAGTTCAAAAATATAATAACAGCAGCTTTCACAGTAGGTAAATTCTGATTTTAATGATTATAAAGTTTCCATTCATAGTATCAATTCATCTCCAAGTATCAGTTACATTCAATAAAAGTTTGAATTTAGTTGGCAATGATCTGTTTATCCTTAATATGATATCGCAATGTGCCTGAAAAGAAATTATAATTAATGTTCCTTTAAATAAAATATTCAACATTTTATTAGCCATTGGTATCAGGATAATGATTATCTAATTCACACTCATGGATAGGGTAATGATTGTGAAATTAATTAATTAATTAATTAAAATGTTAAAAGGGTATTCGTGAAACTCTTTCACCATAATTGCAGTCCTAATATTTCTTAAACCTTTCAATAAGCTTGCTGTATAATTTTAAAATTCATTTGAATGATGATGTTGCAGCATGGGTTAGGCTTAATTAGATCATTTTTCACTCAACTGTTTGAAATTTTGTTTCACTGCTGTTGTTAGGACATGTTTACATTAGGCCTTATCAGCCTAAGTAGGCCTAAGTAACTTCTTGAATAATAATCATCTAAACGAAATGTCAAAAATATTTATAAATTAATATAAAACATGTTTAAAGATTTATTAGGTATATGAAATAAAAAACTTTTAATTAACAATTAAAAAATTGGTTTGCTTATAATTCTTGTTTGGTGAAAAAGTGAATGTAAACACAGTAAAACTGCATGTGGTGTTGTTTGAGTCAAAACAAAGATGATATTTACAGTTTTATAAAATAAAAAAACTATAGAAACATTTCCCAAGAGTTTAGGAAGACATGAAAGTCGGTAATTGAAATCTACTACAAAGTTAAACATCTTTAAATGGTTCTCAAAAAAAATATTTTTAAAGTTTCGAATTCATACAAATATCATACAGAAAAATAAGATATTTTGTTTTGCAGAATTATAAACTTTGGAGTTTCCAAAAAAAGAAGCATTAAACTTGAGCTGTAAAATACTCAAAGCTGAATAAATAAAGAACAAAGAAACAATGATTTTAAAAACAAAAAATCCCAACTTAGCATCAGAAGTATTTTGAATGTTATGAAAATGTAGCAAGAAAACCAAATTACTTTTAGTCTTTTCTTGATCAATGGTAATAAAAAGCATGTTAAACTTACTTCTAAATAATAACATGCAGTTATCCTAATTTTACTTATTATTTTCTTAACAAAATTATAAGGTTCCAAATGATTATTACGTCAACAGAAAGATGAAAAGATACAAGTTCAGTCTTCAGAAAGCTGTCAATATCCCGGTGAACACGATATCTGATGTTTCGGGGGCCCACCTTCTAGACAAACTGCAGAGGCTTGGAAGCCTTCTTTCTAACCAAACTGTTAGTGTTGGAGACCAGCAGGTGTCGTGCAGAGAGCATCAGAATGGTCTAGCATTTTGTTATGATCTGCTTGCAAAGAAACTTGTGGTATGTATAGATTTTGTCTTGTTAGAAGCTTTAGTGGATGGATTTAATTTATTAAATTATGATTATTATGAATATTATTTGAAACGGGTGGGTCTAACTGTGCATGTCAGTCTTTTAGTGAGTTATTTTCAAATTTAATTAAACTCCTTTTTTGTTTATGTTATACCAATTAGTATAGCATAAAATCGTAGCTAGTAATCCATATTTTAATAGTATATAAGTTTTAAGTTCTTAATTTTATAAGGCAATATTTAAAAATTCTGAATTTCTCCTAGTGTGAAAAGTATAACATTTTCTCTAGGAATCTCCTCTTCTCTATCTTATTCACCACCCCTCCAATAAGTACGAAATTTAATGTAAATTCCTCACTCTAAAAACATCTTTACCCAGACAAACATAACTTTTATGGCCTTCAATCTTGTTTGGCTACTGAGCCATTAAATAGAAAATGAGACACCTCTCGCCACACCCACCTATCACATTCTCTCTTTTCAGTTCTCTCTTATGTTTAATACTATATTATGTATAACCAATAGTAAGCCAAGGTTTTCATTTATCAAATGACGTAGTATATTATGTTGTTTTCTGAACAGAGGATTGTCAATTCCTCAGTTAGTACAAG